GACCAGTGCCGCATTACTCGGTGCCAGCTTGCTGAAGATCCTGATATTCGTTATGTTTCTTGAAAAGATTACCAGCTCAGTGTTTCTCCGGACAAAAGCTTTTGGCAAAACTTTAGTCAATTAGAAATGTCCCTGCTGTATACACTGAGCAACACAACCTCATCCTGATCGCTATCATACTTAGGCAGTGGCAGGTTATCATATCGGCGAACAATTTCCATGAGATCTCGTACGCTTGAACAGTAGAATTGCTGCTAGAACGGTTGAAAAAATTGGCTACAATGACTCGGTGGCGTTGGAGCTGCTATTACTACTAAAATTTTTGTCGCTGCTTAACTGCCAATGCAGCTACTGCTGCTGCTGCTGCTGCTACTGCTTACTGCTTAGTAAAATTATTAAATATTAAAAAAATTTAAACGGTTTTGAAAATTTATGTTCGTTTTTTCAGGAATCTGTTGGATCGTGATGCATTTTCTAAAAGTGATCCGATGTGCGTGGTATTCCTTTCAACAGGTATCTTTTTCAGCTTATAAATCTGACAAATCATATCACTTTTTACGAATGTTAGATCATCTTAACATGAGACCAGGGAAAACTTCCGTTGCTCGTGCAGGAAAATTGATCCTCCGCAGATTCAGCAGATCAGGAAAAATAATGTATGCATTAATGAACAAAGACCTAACACATTTTTGCAGGGCCTCTGAACGATAATAAGTTTCGAGAAGTTGGCCGTACTGAAGTGATCCAGAATTCTCTGAATCCGGAATGGAAAGAAACGGTTGAAGTGGATTACTTCTTCGAAGAAACGCAGCGAATTAAATTTGAAATGTTAGCATTTTGTTATAGTATTTTCCAGTAGAGTTGTGAAACTGTTAGTATGAGGTCTTGGTGATATATGTCTCAGGATCGAAAGGTCTGGCGTAGCTGCGTCCAACGTATGGAAACATTCCAGTAACATCACTAACATGGGATACCCACAGCGACTGTCCGAATGTTCTTGGGGTGCAATGATAATCTAATGATATTTTTTATTAATTTCTTCCAGCCTTAGCATGAGAGTGAAAAGTACAGTAAAACACGATACGTAGTTTGTTTTCTGAGCATTCAAGCATCGCACATTTGTGGAAATAAATGTCACATAGACACATCGCAGACATTTTTTTCTGATTCAAATTTTGCGGCCAGGATTTTACATGTTTACTAGTATTAGTGCTATTGCCTTTGCATCTAAAATATAGCTTGCCGAGACTAGCAGTTACTGACTCTCGTTGTTTCTAGAGAACTACCAAGTAAGCGCTTTACTTTTCCAGGCCTTCATGGCTTCACTCGTAAATTCGCTTTCTCACAGATATCATACGTTCAAAGTTTTTCAAGTAATTTCTCATTTCCACTTAATTTCGATTCCAGATATGACATCGATTCTCGATCCAGCAAACTTACGGATCATGATTTTTTGGGCCGTGTCGAGACAACTTTGGCTCAAATTGTTGCTGCTCAGTTTTGTCGACGGACGTTTACACTATCGTACTTTTTTTGTTCTTTCAAAAATTTTAAAACAATCAAAATACAACAACGGCTCCCTCTCCCGCTTTGCTATGTTTGTATTTACAGCTAAGGGATGAGACACATGGACTTCTCGTTTGCTTATCATTTAGTCGTCAGTCCTTATGAACTCTTTGCTGATAAAATACCTTATTGTGGGCAAGAACTGGCAATGTTTGGAAGTTATGATGTTCCAGATACAAATCAGCGGCATCTTAAAACGGCCGAGTACTTTTATCGGGAGAATAGCTGTTCTTATAAATCATTTTAAGAGACTAAATGAACATCGATATCGCTAGCAGGCTGTCCATCAGGAGATTCACCACTGGTCAGAGCAACTGAAAATTTGCTAAACGCGTAGATATCGAATGACGCTTTGAACTGTAGCTGATTAAATTTGCAAAAATAAGTATTTTTCAGGGGT